AGTGTCCGTCTATCACAACATGGTCAATTTGGTTTCTCGTTTTTCGATCTGGAGACAGCCATGTAGCTTCGTGGATCTTCTTATGCTGGAACCTAGTACTACATATTGCCATGTTTCGGGCAGCGCCCATATGCTCTCTCCAAGTGCTCATAGAAGAGATGCTTGGACGCCTCGTCCTTCTCTTCCGTCGTAGCATGGGCGCAGATGAGCGAAATGTTGAAGAATATCGCTTTGATGGGGATTGTGGCTAGATGTTCGCCCACAGGGGTGAACGCTAGTACTCCGCGACGGAGTCTCTCTCCCACCACAAATCCCACACCGAATTTGCGCTCCTTTACGTGGCAACTATAGTAGACATCGCAAGGTTCCACGCTTACCTTGCCTTGCCCCGTCCATCGCATTTATTGGATGGCGGCGATGCCAGCCTTAGTCTTCATGAGGACATCAACCAACCGGGCAGAGGCACCTTCCCCGTTAAGGATATAATAAAATAATTTAACCAAGTTAGGTAGAAATCTATAAAGGTACAATACTAATTTGGACGTCTGCCGGCACACCCCCACGGCAGCGGCTTACAGGAGGGATACAATTATAGCAAAAAATAAGCAAAAAAAAAAATTAATAGCCGCATACGCGTAACTTATTGTACGTATCACTTGACATATAAGAAGCTTAAAAAATATCGTCTGCCATCTAAATTCCAAGGCAAAAGTCATCTGCCACCCACAAAAGTATCGCAAAAAAAAAACATTATTTCACAAATATGAAATTGATTAAAATGCTTATGTTTATAGTAACAAGGAGAAAAATAATAGTCTGCGCCAATAACATACAGCGAAGATCGTCTGCCAAGCCTATGAAGTTGCGCATGGCAAGCATTGCGTGAGCACCACGGCTACTACGCTGTATTAAGTGTAAATATGAGTTATTGGCCAAAACGCTTAAAAATATTAGAATGATGGTTAGACCAACGGAATTGAGTGTAATAAATCTATATATATATAATTTTTACGTTTATTTTAACAACTATAGTCACATTCAACATCTCTGCTTCCTTTATATCGCGGTTCAAGGACACCCTGTCAAAATTTTTGTATTTGTACATTTTGACAGGATATTAACCAGGCGGAAGAAGCAATTTTTTACTTGTAAGTATGCTAAAAACTCGAAAGGAGAAAATAGTCAAAGATTCAAAGTACAAATTGTTGATATAATGAAAGTAGTTCATAGTTTTTCTCTTTTAACTTGTAAAGTAAACATTTCTAAAATAAATGTTTATTTTTTTTATTTTTTCGGTTTTTGTTTTTAGTGCCTTCTTTTGCCTGCCTTTTTTGCGATTTCTAGTGCCTTTTCCTGCCTTTTTCGATATTTTATTTTCCCCTTTTTATAGGTTTTTGGGTGCTAAAAATCCGTTCTCTGGTAATAATGTTGTGTGTGCACACCAAAAAAATGGATTTAATGGGATCATATTAACACATACCCACCATGTAAACTTAACCTAAAAAGCCTTTAAAATACCATAAATGCCATTATTATTACACATACCCACCATGTAAACTTAACCTAAAAAGCCTTTAAAATACCATAAATGCCATTATTATTATATGAGGTTACATTAAAAGCATTGTGACCGTTTTGATCCAAGTGGATCAAAAGTGATACATTTTTCGATGAATTTTGGAGAGATACTTTTTTTTCAATTTTGATACTTTCCCAAACACAAATGGAAAAAATTTGTAAATTTGTATGCATTACAAAACATATCGTGCACCTGTGGCAACGCACATCCAAAAGTTCATTGTCGTTCTGAACGAACCTTTCATGTATTATGATTCATGGTCCATGACGAAAAACGTCAAAAGGTGAATAAACGAACAGTATCATAGATTTGCATTCTTTTTTATTTTCGCTCTGTTCAATAACAAAAATTAGGGCTTGGTACTCGGGCCCTGTTTCCACAGGAAAACACCAATGTTGTGATAACCATGTCATAAAATATTTTTGCAATGGATACCGCCTATTTCTCACGAGCTGCAATATATATCAGCATCTATTGAAGGCAATTTGATTGTTTGACAGCCATATTTTCACTTGAAAGAAAGCGTGCTGGTGGTAACATCGATGAAATATTAATTTTAAATCAAAATAAGAATCTGTTCCCTATTAGATTATTTATGATAAGGTTTAAGGAAGTTATTTAGCAAGTTTTTTTTAAGATTTAAATGTTTTTAAACACCGAAATTGAGAGTATGTTGTCTGGCGGCATTATGCGGCAAATGCTTATACATATCAAGATATCACAGTGCTCACACGCAAAAACTTGCAGTCATACCCCAGCAAACCTTTCGGTTTGATATCAACTTGATATTAAATAGCCTTCTCAAATCTCCAACGTTAATTCTCAACAGCATCTCAACGAGCGGATTATAGTGTTTTCAACATAAAAGGCACTTTTTTTACATGAAGATTTTCTTAGTTATCAAGTTGAGAAATTGTTAATTTTCCACTTGACCTCAAATCAATTTCTCCAATTGGTATCAAATGAAAGTTTCTTTTTTATTTAATACTTTTAATACATTTTATTTTATTTTGTACTTTTGGTTACTTATTTAGATTAAAAATTATACAAAGTACCAGCTTTTTATGATAAATTTAATTATTTTTCAAATAAATACTAAGCATGCAAACTAAAAGTAGTTATTCACAGTTCAATTTTATAACATTTAATTTACACCTACGGTCAAACTAATAGCACCTCAACATTTTAACCAGTTTTGGCCTTTTTTTGTCTGCTTAGTGATTATTTTATTTTTTAGACAAGTCTAGCTCATCCAATGTGAAACAAATAGCATATAAATCAGCTTTTCAATCTTTGAACAAGAATTATAAAAATTTTCAAACTTTTTATTCAGAATTTTTAGAAAAATTTTAGATATGCAGCTTTGTAGCTTATTTCCGTACAATGAAGTGCCACTTTCAATCGGCTAGGAATTCGAGTTGATTTTTGATAACTTTTTTTGCTGACGGTCTCACCCATTTTCTTCATACAAAGTTTGTTCAACAATTATTTATATAAGAAAGTGCACAAAACCATCAGAAAAAAGAATTTAAATAATCAAGTTCATACTTGTTCGTTATAATACTAATATTTAGTGGACGATAAAACTGCATACTTAGAACTTTTATAAAAATTCTGATTAAAAAGTTAGTTTTGGTGACATTTGTTATTTTTTTTTTAATTTTTGTACAAAGTTTAAAATTTAGATTTATTTGGTTTTTGTTAGATAGCTATACTTTTGTACAAAATTACTGAACATTAAACACACACCGTACCGTATATAAACAAAAATTTAAAAGAGAATTTCAAGTGCATTTGCTCAGCCACGACTTAAAAAATTAAAAGAAAATCGTAGGGTGCATTTCAAATCGCAGTATGGCAAAATATCAGCTTCTTATTTCAAACCGCAAATAATGGAGATAGGGCCAAAAAGCAACTTTAAGATATCTGTGGTACACCTGACAAGTTTCAGTTAAATCCATTAAGCCATAGCTATATAAATTTAATTATAACTCATATGTATGTATATACATATGCACATATTTTCGAAATTCATTTTCTTTCTGGGTAAATATGGCACAATGGATTTATCTGAAACTTGTCAGTGGTATCACAAATATCCTAAAGTTACATCTTGGACCTCTACAGATTTAATTAAAATAAATAAAATTATCGATCCAGCTTAATGCACCTTTGTGAGCATGCATATGTATACATATTTAAGTTATTTTTTATTTTCCTTTTGCTTTTTGTATGCATGCTTTTTCTGCAGACGATTATTGGCATGCTGGAAAAATGATATTACCGTCCTTTCGAACTCGCTGTCGGAAGCTGCAGTTGCAAATTTTTGATGGCACGCTTCTGAAATGATATACGTACATATGTATGTACACAAATGTGTAAAAATTAAAGAAAAATACGACATACTAACGTTTTAGTGCTGTTGTTACACTTAAATCTCGAACGGGCGTTTTATTATTTGTTCCTTGCCAGCAAAATTTTTGGGCTACTTCGTCTGTCATCAATTTCCGCCAGGGGCACCGAAATTGCGCATATGGAAACTGTGCATTTAGACATTACTTCGGTTTCAACCGAAACTGTGCATGTATGCTTTATTTCGGTTTTTACCATATGCATTATTTCGGTTTTAAACCGAAACTGTGCATGTATGCATTACTTCGTTTTTTTTCATATGCATTATTTCGCTTTTAAAACGAAAGTATGCATATGCATAATTTCGGTATTTTCTCATATGCATTATTTCGGTTTTCAACCGAAACTGTGCATGTATGCATTACTTCGGGTTTTTCATATGCACTATTTCGGTTTTCAACCGAAACTGTGCATGCATGCATTATTTCGGTTTTTGTTATATGCATTATTTCGATTTTCAACCGAAACTGTGCATGTATGCATACCTTCGTCTTTCACATATGCATTATTTCGGTTTTCATCCGAAACTGTGCATGTATGCTTTATTTCGGTTTTTACCATATGCATTATTTCGGTTTTAAACCGAAACTGTGCATGTATGCATTACTTCGTTTTTTTTTCATATGCATTATTTCGCTTTTAAAACGAAAGTGTGCATATGGATAATTTCGTTTTTTCTAATATGAATTATTTACTTCTACTTAGTAAGGGTTTTAATCCCTAAGCGCGGCTGAAAGCCGCCTACGCAGAGAAAAGTTCTGCGCAAAAATACGTCCGCCCTTCTTTTCCGGCAATACAGAAAGGAGAATTCTACTTAGTAGGGGTTATAATCCCTAAGTGCGGCCGAAGGCCGCCTACGCAGAAAGAAGTTCTGCGCAAAAGTACTTCCGGCCCCCTTTTCCGGCAACACAGAAATGAGAATTCTACTTAGTAAGGATTATAATCCTTAAGTGCGGCCGAAGGCCGCCTACGCAGAAAGAAGTT